TCCCGTGCGCTTTCTGTGGCTCCCTCGAGGCTACCAGGCGAGTCCTTCTTGTGGGCAGGCCTGAACTCGCTGGATATGCCCTGCGGTGTGGTGCTGATAAAAGCAGGGCAGGGTGACAGGGGATGAGAATCGCGCCCCCCACCCCCACCCCCCACCGCCAGGTACCGATTTTGCTTCAGAAAGAGTCAGGTTACAGAAGTGAGCCCCTAGAAATGTAGGATCCATGAGTCTTAAGGAGAGACCGCTTCTGAGTTCAGCCCTCTAGAACCACAGGCAGTATCACATCCACCACGTGGGGACCTGGGGTGGGGGTGGAGCCGCCTCAAGAAAGCGAACTTCAGCTCTGAGTCCTGAGAGAAGGAACCAGAGTTTCTTTTCAGGAGGATCACGCTGTTGCTTTCTCCTTCCTCTTCCTACAGACTTGCTGGAACAGTTGGGGCTTACAAGACAAAGGGCCCGAGATGCCTGTCTTCACTAGGTGGGCCGGCCCCCCTCTTCCCCCAGCCCATCCTGGTCCTTGGCCCCCAGCCCCTGGTTCCCACCATTCTCATGATTCTCACTGTTAGTCTCTATACAACCCCGCCCTTCACTCTGTGCTTGTACATGGTGGGTACCTGCACCCCGCCCCCCGCACCCCCCCCCACCCCGCGCCGTCCACGTGGAGATGCCTGTGACGGGCCCCGCCCTGGAGGGGACCACAGTATGGCGATGAGGTCAGATGCATCATCGCAACTCAGCCCAAGCAATAAACTGCCTAGAGGTGGGCGAGGGGGTCCACAGGGACCCTCCGAGGAGCACAGAAGTGCGACAGGATGGAATGTGTTCAGAAAACAAGAAGTCAGGGACCCCCGCCCTAGCGTCGGGTGTGAGATGAGAGTGGCCGAGTCGGTGTCAGGCTGGCACAGCCTCTGTCGGCAGTAGAGATCCGGGGGATGTGGTCAGGCAGTAGAGGGACGTGACCAAATTTGCATCTGGGGAAAAAAATCTCTCCAGAAGTCAGATCCCGTCTACATGCTTCCAGTGGCGGTCCAGCCCTGAACAGCTAGCTGAAGGGGCAGGAAGCTCTCTCCCTTCCAGACCGCCCCCCCACCCCGCCCCAGGGATTTTCCACCTCATAGACCCAGCTCTGCCCCTGGGGTCACACATACCTGGAGGTCCTGACTCACCGCATTCTCTGGGGTCCGGTTACAACCGTCCTGCCGAAGGACCCTGCCACCCTCCCCATCACTGTTCCCAGGAGCCCAACCTCACACCTGCCTCACCACAAAGTTCCTTGCGCCTCTGTGAGGGTCGTTTCTACCCCACGTGCACATCCTACACCCGTATCCACACGGGCTCTGCGTTTGTCCTGGAGTTCTGGAAAATGAGAGATGAAGGGACCAACCAACTCAGCTGACAGATGAAAACCCTGAGGGTCAAAGAAATTAAGAAACATGCCCAGGGCCCTAGGAGGCTAGGATTAATTTACTTGAAGGAGTTGAATTCCGTAGTTTAACCAGAGAAGCTCAGAAGGACAGACATGAAGCTAGTGTGAGTATCTGCAGTGGTGAGCAAAGGACCGGGAGGCAGCCAAGTCCTGCCAGGGCTTGTGCCGATCGAGAGATGATCGTTCAGTACCGTGTAAGTGTCGTGTAAGTCACTTAGGACTGTGTCTGGCACGTGGAAAGCACAGCTCTTAGGGGAGACGATACCCTCTTTTTTTTTTTTTTTATGTTTTGTGTCTTGGCTGCGCCTCGCAGCATGCAGGGTGGTTCTCGAGCAGAGATTGAATCCAGGCCTCGGCAGCAAAAGCGCCAGATCCTAACCACTAGGCCACTAGGGAACTCCCCCTTATGTGGACTTTAGTGTTAGGCTGGCTTGGATTAAACTCTAACTCCACTGCTTACTAGCTCTATAGCCACATGGCTTTTGGCCAACCTCTTAACCTCTTTAGGCCTTAATTACCTCAGATGTAAAATGGGATCATAATACCCATCTTACAGGGTCATCGTGAGGATTAAACGTAATAGTGGTTGTAAGACACTTCACATGGTTTCTTGGCACATCTTAACCAGTCAGTCTGCGTCAGCTACCAGTAACACTATTGCCCTTGTTATTATTAAAGTGCCCTTCATTTGAGAAGGCATCCTGGGTCCACAGGACAGACTCTTCCTGTTCAAGTATCCAGGCCCTACCTGGATGTCCTAAAGCCAGGTAAAGAGATTGGATTTCTGCATTTGACAGTACCATAAAAATGGGTTCTCTCAGAAGCATCCTGCCTCCAATCCATAAGTACTAGGAGTAAATAATTATTTGAAACACAACCACTGTGTTTGGATTTAGAACAAATGCCAGGATGAGGCTTAGGAAAACATTTTCTCCAGAAGTAGTGGGACTTTTCTCTTGTGACTTATGCTCCTAATTTTAGACTAATATTACATAGTTTGCATTTCCAGAGGGGTTATAAAGTATAAGAAAATTGCTAATTTAGGTCTGTAGGGAGTGGGCCAGGATATTTCCATCCCCTCTGGGGTTTTGTAAATATGTTCCAGGCCAAAAGTTCCCAGGAAGAGGGTCCTTCCTGGGATCTATGTAGTGCCATGGACTGGGCTTAAGGAGGATCTGAGTAACTTTCTGCTGGAGTTGGAAAACTCTGATCCTCTGGCTCAGTTCAGTTCAGCTCAGTCGCTCAGTCGTGTCCTACTCTGCAACCCCATGGACTCACAGCACGCCAGGCTTCCCTGTCCATCACCAACTCCTGGAGCTCAGACTCATCTCCATCGAGTCGGGGATCCTCTGGCTACTTGTGCACAACCCTGGAGGCCAGGAAGAGTGTCTAGAATCTCCTTTGTCAGTTTGAGGCTCAGCTCTGCCACATTTTAGGTGTGTAGCCTTGGGCAAGTCACTTTCCTCTCTGGGGACATGGTAGCTGGCCTCTAGAAGCCCCTCAGAAAATTACATCTAATTCATTCATCATGAATAAAGGAAGGACTGGGTCTCAGTTGCCCCATCTGTAAAATGGGAACAATAGTACATCGGTGCTTTACATACCCTGTAAGATACTACCTTACAGAGCATCACAGGAAGGAAGCCGGGCAGGCCTGGTCACCGTTATTCACAGATAAGAAAGTGAGGTGACGGAGTTAGCCCAAGGCTTCAGAAAAGATAGGGAGGCACAGAACTGAGGCTAGCCCTTCAGCTTTCTGAGGCCCACCCCATCTAGGCTTCATTTATAGGACAGCATTTTCTTGGGCTCCAAAATCACTGCATATGGTGACTACAGTCACAAACTTAAAAGCCGCTTGCTCCTTGGAAGAAAAACTGTGACAAACCTAGCATATTAAAAAGCTGAGACATCACTCTGCTGACAGAGGTCCATTATAGTCAAAACTGTGATTTTTCCAGTGGTCATGTACAGATGTGAGAATTGGGCTGTAAAGAAGACTGAGTGCTAAAGAATTGATACTTTTGAATTGTAGTGTTGGAGAAGACTCTTAAGAGTCCCTTGGAGAGCAGGGAGATCAAATCAATTGATCCTAAAGGAAATCAACTCTGAATATTTATTGGAAGAACTGATGCTGAAGCTCCAGTACTTTGGCCACCTGATGCAAAGAGCCGACTCATTGGGAAAGATCCTGATGCTGGGAAAGATTGAAGGCAAAAGGAGAAGAGGGCAACAGAAGATGAAATGGTTAGATCGCCTCACCAACTCAACAGACATGAATTTGAGCAAACTCCAGGAGCTAGTGAAGGACAGGGAAGCCTGGAGTGCTGCAGCCCATGGGGTCACAAACAGTCGGACATGACCTAGCAACTGACCAACAAAGCTATCTTTGGGCCTGGTTGACAGAGCACAAGCGTAACAGCATCAAAGACTGATGTTTGGATGTTGGCTCTGCCATTTACAAGCTGTGCAACCTCAGGTAGGTTGCTTCCTGTCTCTGGGCCTCAGCGTCAACATCTAACTTGTGAAGATCCCAATCCCTATAGGTTGTTGTGAGGGTTAGAGGTGGTCATGTATGGGGGGCACACCTAGAGTTCCTAAGCGATTGGAGTCTTCTTTTTTTTTTAATTTTATTTATTTTTGGCCGCGATGGGTCTTCGCTGCTGTGCTCAGGCTTCCTCTAGTGGTGAGTGCGGGCTGCTCTCAGGTGTGGCGCCCTGGCCTCTCATTGCAGCAGCTTCTCTTGCTGTGGAGCATGGGCTCTCGGGCACGCAGGCTTCAGTAGTTGAGGCAGACGGGCTTAGTTGCTCCAGGGCATGTGGGATCTTCCTAGACCAGGGATTGAACCCTTATCCCCTGCATTGGCCATCACATTCTTAACCACAGGACCACCAGAGAAGTCCCTCCCCACCCCGCCACTTTTTTTTTTTTTAATGTTGGCCTCACCCAACATTAAAATGGGGTGAGGAATCTTAGTTCATGGGGAATCTTAGTTCTCTGATCAGGTATCAAACCCACGCCCCAGGCACTGGGAGTGTGGAGTCTTAATCACTGGACCACCCACGAAATAAATCCCCTCCTGCCTTTTTTTTTTTTTAGTTTTGAAAGTTAAGATTTATTTTGAAAGGTACCATCCTGACGCTGGGAAAGATTGAAGGCCAGAGGAGAAGGGGACGACAGAGGATGAGATGGTTGGGTGGCATCACCGACTCAATGGACATGAGTTTGAGTAAACTCCGGGAGTTGGTGATGGACAGCGAGGCCTGGCGTGCTGCTGTCCATGGGGTCGCAAAGAGTCGGGCACAACTGAGCGACTGAACTGATTGAACTGATGCAAGTGTGGGCTCTTGAAACTTACACTGTATTAACTCCTCAGCAATTAGAATCTTCTAAAGACAAGTACCTTTAGCCTCACACAGCTTACTGAATCCTTATCCCCACTGGGGCCTGCTGGTGACCAGGTGGTTTCTTCTCAACTAGAGGGGGGACCCTGCCTGCAGCCTGTTAGGGTTCTGACAGTGATCAACCCAGACCCTTGGGAAGACCTTTCCCTGAGCCTGTTTCCCCGTTTGCACATTTAGAGGCTCTGTCTGCACTTTCCTTGAGCCTCAGTTTCCCCATCTGCACAGTCACAGGCTCCCTCTGTCCCCATTTCGGCTTCTGCCGCAGCAGGACCTGAGGGCGGAGGGCGGGGCGGCCGGAGGGGCGGTGGCTCGGCCGGCCGACCATCGGAGCCCAGTGTTCCTTGCGGCCCGGGTAGCGGCCAGCGCTCCTCGGGGCGGGGGCTGGGGCCGCGGAGGCGCCGGTTCCCACCCGGCGCTTCGGGGAGGGGGGCGTTGTGCTGAGTCAGCGGCTGGCGGCCCCGCGCGCGCTGGGGCTCCCTGGCCGCCTCGCGTGCCAGCTGAGCCCCGGCCAGGAGCCCCCGGGAGCCCCGCTGCGATCGCCCCCGCTGCTGCGGGAACCGGGCCCCGAAAAAAGCCCTGGCTTCCCGGCCGGGCCTCCCAGGGCTCCGGGCACCATCCCGGTTGGTGATGGAGCCGCCGCCAGGCCTGCCTCTGCCCTCCCCGCCGGGTCCCCTAATGATGCTCATTACTGCTCTCCAACGCCCATACAGGCTTTCCTTATAAACCGCTGTGCAGACATTCACCCCTTCCAGAAACCCAGCGAGGTAGTTGGTGAGCCGGGGCCCCACAGCAGAGAAACAGGCTTCACTCAAAAGGCACCATTGTGTGTGTTTGTGTGTGCGTCGCTCAGTCGTGTCCGACTCTTTGGGACCCCATGGCCTATATAGCCCACCAGCCTCCTCTGCCCATGGGATTCTCCAGGCGAGAATATGGAGTGGGGTGCCCTTCCCTTCCCCAGGGGATGGAACCCCGGCCTCCTGCATCGCATGCAGATTCTTTACCATCTGAGCTATAGGGAAGTCCCTAAAGGCAGGGTTGGGGACACTTTATTATAGTTTGGGACTGTTTACAAAGTTGGGGGAGCGAGGGAAACCAATGAAGGCCGGTGAGACACCCCACGGCTAACCAGAGCAGACACCCTGAGGTGGGGGGACGGGTCGTTGCTAGAGCCCAGGAGAGGCAGCCGTAGGAGTGGGGCTCCCTGCAGGAGGGGAGGTCCAGGGAACTGAGGGATCCCGCCCCTGTGTCCCCCAGGTGGCGAGAGCAGCTGCGGGCCGATCACCTCCTCTCCCATCCCCCACCTCAGTCTCCCATGGGCCACATCCTACCGGAAGTCAGAGAACAAAAGAGCCAGGAACCAGGTCGCAGGATCCCTCATTCAGCCTCTGCACCTCAGCCAGGGTGGAGAAGGGTGGGGGTTACCCCGCAGGGCAGGCGGAATCCAGCACGGGTAGGAGGTGTTGCTAAACCCACGGTACTTGAAAAGGAAGCAGAGACTCTAAGATCTGAAGTCACAGAACACTTAGCTGTCCCCTCTAGGAGCTCAGCTGTTCAAACTCTGGCGTGTCTAGCTCGGCGCTGGTTCTTTCCGCTGTATTCTGCCCAGCTATAGGAGCAGACAGAGGGGACCAGGGCAAGAAGACGGGAGGGCTGACACATTCAGCATCTCCTCGCCTGGGGGACCAGCCTCATCTCATAGGGTGCTTCTCACCGGTTTCCATCACATCCTCTGGCGACCTGAGGAGGATAGGCTCGAGCAGCCCATGCGTGTTTTTTCCTTAAACTTAATGTAAGCTTTAGAGTTTGCTCCACCATATATATACATGCCATGAGCTGTGCGTGGTTGCTCAGTCGTGACTGACTCTGCGACCCCGTGGACTGCAGCCCGCCAGGTTCCTCTGTCCATGGGGATTCTCTGGGCAAGAATAATGGAGTGGGCTGCCATGCCCTCCTCCAGGGGATCTTCCCAAGCCAGGGATCAAACCTGCATTGCAGGTGGATTCTTTACGGACTGAGCCACCATAAAATATATATATATATATATATATATATATATATATATAATTTATTTTTAACTGGAGGATTATTGCTTTACAATGTTGTGTTGCTGTCTCCCATTCAACAAGGTGAATCAGCAGTAAGCATACATGTGTCCCCTCCCTCTTGAACTTCCCTCCCACCTCACCCCATCTCACACCTCTAGGTTGTCACAGAGCACCCAGCTGACCTCTCTGTATTATACAACAACTCCCATTAGCTGTCTGTTTTACGTATGGTACTGTATGTTTCAGCGCTGCTCTCCCAGTCCTACCCTCTCCTTCCGCTGCTTTGTCCCAAAGTCCGTTCTCTACGTCTGCTCCTCGATTCCTGCCCTGCAAATGAGCTCATTGGTACCATTTTTCTAGATTCCACGTGTGTGTGTATATATACATATGTTAATATGCAATATTTATGGGGCTTCCCTGATAGCTCAGTTGGTAAAGAATCTGCCTGCAGTGATCGACTTGGGTTCGATCCCTGGGATGGGAAGATCCCCTGGAGAAAGGAAAGGCTACCCACTCCAGTATTCTGGCCTGGAAATTCCAGGGACTGTATAGTCCACAGGGTCGCAAAGAGTCGGACACGACTGAGCGACTTTCTCTTTCTGACTTAACTTCACTCTGTGTAACAGGCTCTAGGTTCATCCACCTCACTAAATTGTTTAAAATCACTTAAAAGTTACTTAATTTATTTCTGCCTACCCCAGAAGTTCAAGGAAAAAAAGTAGGACTGGTCCTCCTTTTCCTCCTACCGGTCCGCGAAGGACTGGTGCTGCACTTCTTCTCTGGCTTCAGGCGCCCTTAAAATAAGGCTGTGTGCCACAGAGAGGTCCTTTAGGGAGAGAGCCTCTTTGCCCAGTGTCACACGGCTGACAGTCATACTCGGAGTCCCACGAGCTTGCTCCCTGCATGGCTGACACAAGGGAAATCTGGCCAAATGAAGCCCAGGAGAGAGTCTCAAAAGGGGGGCAGGTCACCAGAAGTCGTCCCGAGAGGGCAGGGAGGGAAGAGATTTGAGCTCGGCGTCGGCACACGTCCCCTGGGTTCTCCGTCCCCAGCTCTGGGGACGCTCAGAAAAGCCTGGGGAGGTTCGTGTCCTCAGCCAGAAGCAGGGCTGGGAGGCAGGCAGCTGGGTGTCGGAGCCCCAGCCCTGCCGTCTCTTGGGCAAGCCGTCCCCTGGGTTCTCCGTCCCCAGCTCTGGGGACACTCAGAAAAGCCTGGGGAGGTTCGTGTCCTCAGCCAGAAGCAGGGCTGGGAGGCAGGCAGCTGGGTGTCGGAGCCCCAGCCCTGCCCTCTCTTGGGCAAGCCGTGTACCCTTCCAGGCCTTGGGCTCCTCTCTTGTAACCGGGCGAGCTCTCAGCTCCCTCATAAAGCTCCCGGGAGGAAGCGTGTGATGACACACGGCAGCATGTGCGCTGACAGCACGTGAACCTGGCTGCCGTCTCCTCCGTTAACAAACTCTAGGCTGGAGGGCTCTGCCGCCATGGCTGGTTGGGACAGCCGCTCTCCCGGCCACAAGTTGCACTTCTGAGCCAGCGTCAGAAGAGGTTGCCTTAAAGCTCCTGGATGATCTGACCTCTGTGGTTTCGGTTGCCATGGCGCCGTGAGAGAGGTCAAACTCTGCGCAGGGTCGGGGTACGGAAGGCTTCACAGAGGAGGTGCCTTTTGAGACAGACTTGAGAGGATTTATGAGGGTCCTCCTGGCAGGTTTCCCTGCTAGCTCAGATGGTCGGGAGACCCGGGTTTGATCCCTGCGTCGGGAAGATCCCCTGGAGAAGAAAACGGCGACCCACTCCAGTATCCATGCCTGGAGAATCCCATGGACTGAGGAGCCTGGCGGGCTGCAGTCCGTGGGGTCGCAGAGAGTCTGACATGACTGAGCGACTGCACTTTTCTTTCACTGGCAGGCAGGGGAGGGTTGTCCAGGGCAAAGACACGTGGCGTGTTGGGAAGGGTGAGTGTTTCGGTGTGGCTGGGACAGAAGTGGGGAAGGAGAGACGGCTGGAATCAAGTGATAGCAGGGCCTGTCGTGAAGGGGTTCCGTCTCCACCCTGGCGGCAGCACAGAGCCGTGGAGACCTCAAACAGAGAGCCGGCTATGATATATTCACTCCAGCGACCCCTCTGTCAGCCGGCAAGGAGTTGGGGCCCGATGGGAAGGCGGGGAGACCTCCAGAGGCCGTGACATTCATGCGACAAGAGGGCACGGTGGCCTGAGGCGGGGGCAGGGGTCAGCCAGGAGGACAGAACGAGTTCAAATCTGGGAACAGTCCAGGCTCGACTTCCTGGGGAGGCTATGGAGGGTGGTTCTCAAGGTTTGACTTGGGGGACACAGTTCAGGGAAGGGATGCTCTTTATTGAGACGAGGGCTTGTCTTAGGTAAGAACACAAGTCCTGTTTTCAAATCACTGCAGGCGGGAACCGGCCTGTCATCGGTGGGGAGGGCTCATTAGCCGTCAGACAGATGGGTGGGTGTCTGCTGAGAGTGGGGAGGCGGGCTGGGGAGCCACGTAGGTGCGAAGGACAGTGAGGGCAGGCTCAGGACACTGGCAGGAAAGGAGGCCAAGCAATAGTCCAGGTCTGTTTGACTCCCTCAGCCCTGTTTTCCCTCCAAGGTCAGTTGGGGGTTTGACTTTCTCTGTTTTCTCTTATCTGTTTGTTCGGTGATATTTATTGAATCCCTTCTATGTGGGCTTTCCTGGTAACTTAGTTGCTAAAGAGTCTGAGGGAGACCCGGGTTCCATCCCTGGGTTGGGAAGATCCCCTGGAGAAGGAAATGGCAGCCCACTCCAGTACTCTTGCCTGGAGAATCCCATGGACAGAGGAGCCTGGCAGGCCACAGTCCATGGGGTCACAAAAAGGTGAGCGACTCACCCTTTCACTTTCTATGTGCTGTGGGCTGCTGGAGGGATAGGATTTCATTCAAAGGCCAGTTCTTCAGAGTTTCTAGTGGGCAAAGCCACAAGCCAGCCCATTTCTCCTAACAGATTGAGGATGAGCACTATTCTTTGCATTTCCTTCTCCCCTCTAGGAACAGGGGTAGAGGCTGCAGGCTTGCATGGACCCTACAGGCATCCCGCAGGGCGTCTGCACAGACACACCAGTTAATAGATGCTCATCTCTGGCTCCTTTGTCAGGCTCAGTTCTTTCCCACGATTCAACAGAAACCTCCCCTGAGCTCCTAGGTCTCCTTCTGGAGAGAGTTTTATTATCAGGAAGCAGTGGCCCAGACAGATGGCGGGGCCCAGGGCCAGAGTCTTTTTGCTCTCAGATTCCTCTGCCTGGGGTTCCCAGCCCAAGAGATGCCCCCTCCAAACTATGTCCCGGGACCTCAGCTGGAGCCCCAAACTAGACTTTCTGTGGTTGAAACTCAGCCCCTGATTTGATTTCCTGGGTATTCTTCCCACCCCAGTTTTTCCAGGCCTGAAACCTTGAGGGGCCTCAGTTTTCTCATCAATAAAATGGAGGTGATTGCCCTCCATTATAAGATGGCGCAAAGCTGTTTGGAGGATCAAACGAGATAATGGGAGGAGGAAGTGCTTTACAAACCCTATAAACTAGAAATCGTGGGGGCCACCGAGCTACTGCTACTCTTTTTAGAGCCGTGTCCCCAGGTGCCTCCCTGAGTTGGGCCCCGGGCTCTCGAGA